ATATACTACATCTAAATGGCAATTTCACTATTCAAATATAAGTAATCCTTTGCTTCATTCTTTGATTGTCTGTCTGTTTTATTTTAAGCCGTGTATATCTTCCAATCAAAACTGATGTTTACTTTTTGACTATTCAACCAAATGATATGCTAAAGGCGAAAAGCATTATATGTTTGTCTTCATGTTTGTAGCCACATATTTCAGCTTTGTTTTGAACATATACCTGATAAAATAACGTTTTCTTTAAGAAAATCAACTTAAGCAATAAAACAGTTTCCATTTCCGTTTAAAACGAGACGGTCTACAGGGACACAGCATACATATATCTAAATGACATTCTGTTTCTATAATTTACTTGGAGTGAAAATGCATCAGTTGCTCCGAGGACATAAATAAAGTCGATTCTCACGTACAAACATATGCTTGAAGGTTAATTAACAATTCTATCAATGCAAGAATGATAATCTTTGTAAACAGCATTTATATATTTGTATATATATATTTTTAACTTTTATATCAATAAAAGAATGTTTATATTCTACTCAACCTTTTCTAAGCACCAAATGTTATAGCGGTAAAATTTTGTGCTTTGATTTAATAACGTCAATTAATTTCATTAAAGGACAAACTTGACATTTTACTCGTTTTGCATAAGTTTTGTGCTAAAACACGCAGGACATCATATCCAAAATGTTTGGACACGCATTTTTTTTCCATATTTCCACAGTCTCATTAATGTTTACAACTTTTGAATAATAAAGAAGCGTGTGTATGACTAATTGCTAAAGACAACTGCCTTCTTATGATTTGTATGAGGTGTCTGACAATCCGTGCGAGGATGGCGGCCAATAGCTGAACCAACGTGGCCTCAAGCTGTTGGTCTAATGAGCTGATATCCTACCTGCAGCTCATTCCACATATGCTTCATTGATTGTAGGTAGGTGTTTGAGCTCGCAAGTGAAGACGCTTATGCCTCCCAACAACACAACTGATCATGACCCGACCGCGTAATGGTTGTTCTCAGCAATATTACCTGTTTGAATCCCCCCAGGATTTCTCAAAAGCGTAACGTTTAGACATTTTTTACTTAGCTAGTTTTGAATGAATATTATCGTTCACTGAAATGATTTTAGTGTTATTTAATTATCATGTTATTTGTTTATATTGCGACAATATATTTTAGTTTACGGTACTATGAATATAGGTTTGATATACGTATTTTCAATAAACGGTTGATAATCATATACTGTAATAATCGTCTTAGTGATAATGATTATCTTAATCAGCCAATGAAAATAAAGCCATGCATGAGCGATCTTCTCAGCAAGTATAAATACAGCGATCAGAGCAAAAATTACTTAGTCTGCAGAAGAATTCACCGGACCATGTTATTCTATGTAATTGAAGCCTCGCTTAATACATAGAGGATACATGTAATAACGTCAACCTATGATGTATTCATTGAAAAATTGACATTCATTTTAAAATAATTTCAAAATTATAAAAAAATGCGTGTGTGATTTTTTTCTTTTTAACTATTTTTACGATATTTACTGTTGTTTTATTTATCCGGTAATGGTATCATTTTTTAAAATACAACAATATTTAGTAATACCTTGTCGTAAGTACATTTCATGTTCATTATTTAATGAAACAAGGAAAAATGACCTTTCTGATTGCAAAGAACTCATTTGTTAAGATGAATTCTGAATAAATAAGAGTTCAAGGCGAAGTGTGTACATGTAGACTCAATGTTACAGCCCCACCTTTATGACATTGAAAGTGCATACAAGTATTACTTTTGCCGTGTTGGGCTTTCTTTAGGGATTCTGTATTTATCTATTTTATGATCACATCCGTGTTATTTGTGCCGTGTGGCGGCTGTAAAAAGTCTCCCCGTACATTTAATCAATGATGTTATATTTTCGATCCTTGAAGATCGTTCAGCACGACATTATTGTTGTGCTTGTGGTATTTTTAGTTTCAACTTTTCGGCATTTTCTAGTTGGGTGGTTCCAATATTCCTACTTGAATAATGTTGAATCACCCTTAGGATATGTTGCCTGCTTTTTAAATTTGTCTTTTGGCGTCTTATCTGTGATACGCAGGCTTCATAACCGCTGATCCCCTTTCAAAATTCCATTTTATTTAGTTCCGCCCATTGTTTTCTCGTTTAGGGCACACGCATTTTTTTACTTGGGGACCATATGCCGCTTTTCATGGAATGGCACTTACGTGTCACATTGAAGGTTCCATGATAACCGCCATATGACACATTGCGGATGTTTAAAAATTTTAAATTTTACCAGTTCATGTTAAATGTTGAATTCTGCTTAAACCGGTGCTAGGGGGCGTGGACGGTAACTTGCACTTTCCAGTACCGTCCATGAACAGGCTCAATCAAACCGAGTCTGCAACATTTTCAATTTTGCCGTGTTGGGCTTTCTTTAGGGATTCTGTATTTATCTATTTTATACGATTTTTTCTCCTTTTTTATACACTCCTTCATTTTAAATTCCGAGAACTCATACTGAAATAACCTGACCTCTGATTTCCAGTTACATAAGTTGCCTGGCACGCAAATAATTGTACTTAAATACCATAATTGTACAAAATCGTCAATTCCACAAAGAATGTATTTAGTATAGTTAAAATATCTGTACGTATACCTTATTAAGTGAAAAATGATACTTGACATCAGTTATGTAAAATTCTACCGATAATTAGCAACAATTACAATGCTATAATTATAGAAAAATAAGGCTCTATGTAATCACTTTTCTTCTCCGATCTATGTCATCATATAAAACGTAAGGTAATCCATTATTAAATTTTGTATTATTTTAATTAACCTAAAACTAAGGTGTGTTGAAACACATCGTTGACATCAGTACTTTGCAAATACTTTACGTTACTTTATTTTGTATTTCTTTATATCAGGGTAATTTTCAACTTTACGAAGAAAAACAACATTATCGACCAAACACTCCCATTCATTGTACAGAAAGCCTTTTGATTCATAAGAATGTACTAGCAATTTCTATGGCAATTATTTGTTATCAAGTAAATGGTCGGTTTATTTGTGTTTGCATCAAAAAGCGAGGCTGTAATAGAAACATATTAATTTATAATAGGTATTGCAATAATTTGACTTTCGTGTTGAAATATGAGAAATGTCTGTTTACCTCAGGCTATAACATTTTGACATTTTTCTGTATCCTGATAACATATTAAAAGTATATGACAAATGGCCATCGGAAAATGCAGTGGAACGGTGTATCATTTAGTTGTCACACAACGACAGTTCAATTAATGTCTATATCAAATTACATATATTGACATCAATTTTAAATGCAGAAAGCTGATATAACCCTGTTTGATTTATTTTAAACACAATGAAATGATTGAAATTCAGTCTCATTATCAACTATAAATCAGAGAGTTTCTGTTACAATGATAAATTATTATTGTACCACAATATAACATGTGCCATTATCTTATATTAAGAGGCTCAGCTGTAACTTATAGATTTACAACTTACAAAATCTTTAGAAGGTTGTATCAGGTTGCTAAAGTTTGCTACATTTAGGCGACACACAACGGCGCTTCAATAATGTCTATATCAAAGAAAATACAAATGATATCAATTCTAACTGAAGAAAGCTGATATTACGCTGTTTGACACAAAACAAATGATTGAAATTCAGTCTTATTACTAACTTTAAATGAAAAGTTACTTTTACCGTGACATAAAGTTCTGCAATGAACAAAATTCTATTTGTTGTTAGCGACAACGTCTATTCTTATTATTCGCACGCACGTATTTCACTGATAAGTAATTATGACAGAAAACGTGTTTGTGTGATGTGACAATGTGTAGCAGGATCGAAGAATCTTGTGGGTATCGGTATCAGAGGTGCTGATACAACCGGGTGCTGATACAACCGGGTTCAAATAACTCGTATATGAAAAAAAAACAAGAATAAAGATCAACAAGGCATGAAGTTAATATATGTAAAAGTCAACGACTGTAAATGTCATATTATTTCATGTTATATTTTTCATATAACTTGCAGATTTTTGTCTCAGCCGCTCAAAAATTATATAAACCGGTCAGAAGGTTTTTGGTACTTCACTTCAGTTTTGTTATTTTTTCAGGTCTTTCGGGATCATTGATTCCAACACCTTTTAGTGTTGAAAATTAAGTACCGATCAAACCGGTACTGGGGGGGGGGGGGGGCTGGAGGGATGTTGCACTTTATCATTATCCCTCATGTACAGACTAAGTCAAACAGAGTCTTTACTTTCATGTAATTTTGTTGTGGTTTATGCTTCCGAGTGATCACTCTTTATCCAGTTCATTTTTCAACACATACACAGGACAACACTTAATACTTCACTTGAATGTAAAGATAGGAATTCGCCATAACAAATGAGAACAAAGGTAAATAAATAAATATTTTTAAGTAACTGTTTAAAAAGTACTACAGACGTAACATACAGTTCCAATCTAATTATTTATGTAAACTTAAATTCTGAATAAGAGGAAATCCACTCGGAAGCAATAAAACAACCAAATTTTAAGAATATGAAAAATAAGTCAATTTTGAAAACTAATATGAGGATTCATTTTCTTTTCTTCTCAATTGTTTGTTGATTTTTAAGGATTTCAATTTGTTTATTTTTATTTTACTTTTCAAACTATTAATGTACACAGGGCACTTTTTCCATTCCAATGTTGTGGTACAGCCGCTATTGATCGAAATGCCAACTAATTGATGTAAGTTATGTAAATTATTGAGAATAAAGATCAGCAAGACAAGTCGACGTTTACAGAATCCTGCCCCAAACACAACCCAGCAACAATGAAGGGGCACATAAAAGGCACCGAAACCCAAAAGATTGAAAGGACACAAGAGCGGACAATGATGAAAATATACATAAACTGCTATTTGCCTTCTTTATTGTATACATATGTTTTACGACATATGAGCGCCGTCACGACAAAATGACCCTTCGGGCAATTTTCTTCGATTTTTTGGTTTCATAATTTTCATAGAAACCAATTATTACAGATGATTTTACTTTTTATTTGACGAAAAAATCTTGACAAATATCAAAGATATATATTTTTATGTACATAGACCAATGTGTTGCTTCGACGTCGGCGACGACGTTTGTTTAAACGTTGAACGTTTTTTAAGAACGTCGTAGTTTATTGCTGAATTGCTTTGTTTTAAGAATGGATTTTGTAAGAATCAATAAAGACAGTAACTCCACGTGAATTTATTTTACAGTCCTATGAAGTTACAAACTTCAAATTCATAAATATAAAAAGATAACAGAAGAAATCACATAAACGGATCAGCACTAATGTGCCCAGTATATTGGTTAATTTATTACTAACGAAATTTTAAAACTTGCAATATATACATCATTCTTATATCAAATAATATCTAGTTTATTGATAACAAATCTAAGGACTAAACACACAGTCAAAGATAATGCATGTATACATTTGTACATTCAAATCTAAATTGTCATTCTTCCCGTAACGGTGGGCACGTCACATCACGGTACGCCTGACGTACAAAGGGTCGTACATTCTTGTACAGATATTGCTGCCTTGCGCGGGAAAGTCCACCCGGTAGCAAAACTGCAGGGAGAATATCTGCTGGTACTGAAGCATTTCTCTTCAGGATTGTGACCCGCTGCTCTACGTCAGTTGAGCGTTCTTTCACGTATATAGCATCCTTCGTAATACGGAAAGCGTGATAGCGCTGTATACCCCGTAATGGTAAAAAGAAACGCGGCAGAAATGTCTTCCAGTCATACCTGTAATATATGTATTACGTAGTTAATAATATGTCAGTCATAAATTACTTGATATTTTACAATGACAAGCAGGTATTAATACACGTACAAGTAATATGCCAGCATTTATGCCGAGGCCGAATTAAGCTCTCTATTAATTTGTTTTGCTGTTTTATTGTACAAACTTATTTAAATGGGGTGTAAATTTTAGAAATTCAAATATTTGTAATAGAATACCAAGTCCAATTCTGACAGCCATCCTCCTTGCGGAAGAGCACGGGGAAATTGCTTGAAGCAGACTTTCTCACGACAGATGCCACCTGCGAAATACTGTCGCAGTCCGTGCGCCTATACAGCTTCTTGATATGTCCAAATCCTCCATCCACAAGACACCTGAAATCGAATAAAAAACTATATCAAAAATTGCTTATTTATAGTTTATGTTGATTTTATGTTTATTTATATAGGAACATAATGATTGCAAGTAGATTTGTTCTGGAATAATCGATTTGTTCGACAGTGTTTTAATTTTAATCTAATTGGCCAGATTGTCTAAAACATGCCCGCTGGTGTGCAAGCACATACATATTTAAACACATAAAAAATAGCAAATGCTCGTTTTGTGCCGACCAGAATTATTGTAGAGGACTGTCATAAACTAAAATACATAAGTTTCGCATTATACGAGTATAAAATAAAATAAAACTTAAAAAATATAAATTACTTTGTATGACCAGGAAATTCCCATCAGGAGTGTTATCTCATCATGGAGCCCCATATGAATTCGCCATGCCAGATACGCTAACATAAAGCGATTTTTATTCTGCGCTGTAATAAAAAATATATTTTTATTTCACCATTTGAACTAAAACTTATAAATTAAAAATTATGCTTTGTAAAATGTAGCATTTTGAAAATAAAACGGAATGTTCAATGCTATACTATTATTTAATTAAAAACACAAATACGGAAAAATACTCACAACCACAGTTGTCGGCGTGCATGACGCAAGCTTTCTCTCCAAATCCCTGGTTTTCGAGGCAATGATGTAGCATACTTATAACCGAGTTTGGCCCGTGAGTTCCTGTACCATCAGCACCTGTTAATTTACATTAATTCTAAGTATATTTCATATTTCGACAACACACATTTAAAATGACATTTTATTTATTATATGTTTATATGAAATTAATATTTTACAATACTGAAAAGCAAAATATCTCTATTATAGACAATGATAGAAAAAAAGCTAAATTTATTTACTTATTTATTTATTTATCTATTTATTTATTTATTTATTTAATTATATTTATCATTATTTATTTATTTATTTATTTATTTTATTTATTTATTCTTAACATACCAATTGATTCATCCTCGTCTATAAGGTAATTATATTTTTGTGACACAGAATCAACACGGACGCCAAAAATTTGTATTTTCCTGCCAGTAACAAAATACAAAGGGCCCATTTGTTGACTATGGTGTGGTATAGTCACATTTTGAGAATAGTCGAAAGTATAGTGCACTTTTGATAAATCACTAGTGCATGGCTGGGCAGGTCGATTGACTGTGACTGATGTGTGCCTCATTTCCTCACGAGCCTCTTCTATTGTCTTTCTATAAACCTGTCGCTCTCTCTGTGCATCCTACATAGTTTGTGTAAATAAACAAAAAATATAAACAAATCACTCCAACTCTATAATTATTAACCTTACAATAAAATATCTATAAACATGTAATGCTAGTTAACACAAATATTATCTTAATAAATGTTAAATTGTTGATAGCAAATTTGGTATCACATGTATCAAACTATAATTCAATTGATATGTCAATAATTTCAAAAGTATGGTTCCATTACGCAGACAAATAATTACCGCAAGAACTTTGCAAGGAAAAATCAGTGTTACTAATAAACATCTGGAAAAAGGTGATCCTTGAAAGCATTAATAACAACAAAATGACATGAAAATTGCAGACTTGTTTTGATTAATTAAGCGTAATAGGTGTTAAAGTCAGATTAAATTCCGAACGGATTTTAAAGTTTAGTAACGCATATTTGTAGATTTGTAATTAATATTACCTGTATATGTTCTCGTAAAGCGTTTGCTGCCTCAAGTTTGTCCACCTCATGTATAGCATCAGCCAACCTTTTCCTTATCATCTCGCACTTATGACAAACGTCATCTTTTGCCGTCATTATCTTAATGTGTGGAAGGCATTGCTTCCAAACACATTTAAATGTAGTTATACCAAGAACTCTTACGCCGGCTTCTACACATGCTTGTTGGTATTTTGAATGTAAATCCACTTTTGTAGTATTACATGGTAACAGTACAGGTGCAGCCTCGTCTGCTCCGCGTGGTGCTGCTGGCATTGATAACCCGTTGATTTCTGCATATAATAACAGGAAATGAACAGAGAAACGCACGTCCTCGTACTTAACTGCATGGCCTGGCTTTCTCCCGGTATTCTTATGTATTCGCGGCACCGGTCCATTTGAATTTAAATGTTTCAGTAAAGATTTAACAGTCCTCTGCCCAATATCATTAACGTGGCAGAACACAGATTTACAGACAGTTTTGCCATCAAATGTATATCTATATCTAACTCGTTTACGTTTACCTTTCCTGGTTTCCTGTGCACCTATTTTCAACAGACTTCCCATAACAAACATCTCCTTTTGGTCTTTCTCCATTTCCCTGAGAGACAAAATATGCCCTTGAATGTGTTCAGCATCAAACTGCGTCAAACAATTGGTTTTACACTTACATAATTATGATATTGTTAGGAAAAAACATTCCATAAATTTGAATGCGTGCGCACGTGTGTGTGTGCGTGTGTATTTGTGTTAAATTTAATCTATATCTGTAGTTATGATAACCTTTCAAATGTTTATGGTATTTAGTTTCGCTCTTTGTCTTCGCGTTTAGAGCATATGTGTTATTCATTTATAGACACAAACAACAAATAGTGTCTACAAGACTTCCTCGAAGGTAATTCAAGATTTCAAAGCAATTCCTTTGTGTGATGAAAGCAGCCACAGGACATGTCGTTTTGTACTGTTGCTAATATGAAAAACGTTAAGATAATTGAATGCGCATTCATCGTGCATTGAAGTCAACTAATATCAGATTGGATCCTTAAATATTTGTTAAACATTAAATGCACTATTATATCCTATTATATAACAATAATTAACAAATATTTCTAAAACTTTATTATGAACACGGGTCTGCTTCATAATTATGTTTTCCAGCTACCAAAGGGTATAATTCTTCGAAAGTTCAATGGTAGGTTCACTTTTAAGATCAAATTTGTGGTACCTCCGTGCAGACTGATCATGTCCTGCTTTTCGCTTTTCAGTTTGTATATATTTAATAAATATCTAAAAATGAACTATTTTTTACCAGAGTGAAAAACGTACCAGTCCATTTTAAGATTAGGGTATTTGCCTTTTTAGTTGGACCAGTTCTCAGTAACCTTTGACTGAAATTCAATGAAACTTCATATACGAAAAGTAATGATCAACGTAATATGTTCATAGTGATAACATGTTCAAAGCACTGAAAGAACTGGCGAGAAGCAAAGTGTTTACGTCGTAAATAACAATTATACGTCAGTCAATAGCTGTTAGTTGTCAAGTTAAAATGTTTTAAACGAATAAAATGGTTCCTCGAATATGGGTTTAGTTTGGCTCGGTTGTGTCTGGGCCTGCGTTCTGTGAACGTCGCCTTGCCATGTTTATGTGTTCTTATTTGTTTTAGCAGATGTGTTCAATTCTGAATATTATTATGATACTAATGATATGCATGATAAACATTTTATTTCACACCGCTAACTTTTAAGGAAAATGTGCATTTTGAAGATATTTCCACAATATTTAATTTAACTTATAAATTAAAAGAATACTATGAATAAGCTTATGTTTGATGTGTATTGGTCTATAGTGGAACGACTGGTATATGGTAATTAATAACGTTTATAGTATTGAGTATTAGACATATCAACAAAACACGAAAGAATTTTACACGGATGTTGTTGGCAAGTGTGAGATACATAATCAGATATTACATTTATTTATGTAGCAGCTTATAAAATGTTCTAGAACAAAATATTATTTTTCATCATATCAATGTTCATACTAAATTCCCAAGAACTTCATAGACAATTTTTCCAGGAATATTTAAAGAGAATATACAAATAATACATTTTTATTGTTTTATTAATATTTAAAATTTCTATGGAAAAAGTGCCTACTGTAGACCAAGCCACATTTAAATCGCATAATATCGTCTTTTACAAGTCATTTTCTTTCATTACATAAACTTTTACAAATCCCTTAAAAGCGACATTTTTTTTGGTTAAATATGTCATAGTAAAACATTGATTTGTGGTTTAAAAGTTTTAACATGCTATTATTATACGGTTTAACATCTTTGTCAATTATTTGTAGCCTTGAAATTTATTTCATCTAATATCCATAGTTTCAACTTTTATAGTTTAGAACTAAACTGACTTTTGGAATTTCTCAATTTCTCTCTTTTTTTTTGTTAATATAAAAGAGTGTTTAATCAGTTTTCATTTACTTTTTGTGTCGTTTTCAATGTCATCAATAAAAGAAATCAAAAGGACAATAACTTTATATTTATGAGGAAATACTTAAAATTCTTGTGCGTACACAGCTATCCATCACAAGAAGACCTATTCTGTTATAAAATTAAAAGAAATCTCAAATTCTTTTCTCCGAGTTTTGCTCCGAAGTTGTGCTCTAGACAAAAAGAAGTTTGACAAAAAGAATTGACTGACGAAGAATATAACTATACCCCTACTGCTAATGTGTTAAACATTTTGAATCTGGTTCTTCCTTTTTACCGTTGCCCTCCTTGGTGCATTACCGATAGCCCTATTTTACTGAGCGCTCTTGGTGGCAGCGTTTAGTGTATGTTGCTCTCCCTTTTTTATATATGCAATGGAAGTGGTATCATTTAATTGATTCGTTTCAATTTAATACAGACGCGAACAGAATTTGTGTAAATTAAAAAAATATATTTACAATATAGCGTCTCCTCTTTTCTTTCTTCTTATACTGTAATTGTAAGAACTGTCATTGCTAAAGAACTGTCATTGCTACAGAACTTTTACTTATAAAAAAAACTACCGTTAATACAAAACTAGAACTATCACTGAAGGTGATTAATACCCCCACCAGCAACTTTGACTTTTTGAAAAATAAGTAGTCTGAAGAAAAATTTGAACACAAACTATCAACTGTGTACAAAGAAATATTTCAATTAATTGTAATCCCACCTGGGGTCTCTAAATAAGCTTGCTTTTCACAAAGTTTGAATACAATATCTCATTTCTAACTCTAGTTATTATCCAAAAACCATTTTTCTATTTTTAGTAACACTGTAACAGTGACCTTGACCCTAGGGGGTCCAAATGCAATACAAACCAAGGTCTTCATATAAGCTTGCTATACAACAAGTTTGATTACAATATCTCATTCCTAACTCAAGTTATTGTCAGAAAACCATTTTTCTATTTTTAATAACAGTGACCTTGACCCCAGTGGGCCCAAATGCAATACCAACCCAGGTCTTCATATCAGCTTGCTATATCCCAAGTTTGATAACAATATCTCATTCCTAACTCTAGTTATTGTCCGGAGATTTTTCTATTTTTAGTAACAGTGACCTTGACCCCAGGGGGTCCAAATGCAATACCAACCCAGGTCATTATATAAGCTTGCTATACACCAAGTTTGATAACAATATCTCATTCATAACTTTAGTTATTGTCCGGAAACCATTAAATAACAGTGACCTTGACCTTGACCCCAGGGGGTCCAAATGCAATACCAAGCCAGGTCTTCATATAAGCTTGCTATACACCAAGTTTGATAACAATATCTCATTCCTAACTCTAGTTATTGTCCGGAAACCATTTTTCTATTTTAAGTTACGGTGACCTTGACCCCAGGGGGTCCAAGTGACACCAAGTTTGATAACAATATCTCATTCCTAACTCTAGTTATTGTCCGGAAACCATTTTTCTATTTTTAGTAACGGTGACCTTGACCCCAGGGGGTCCAAATGCAATACCAAGCCAGGTCTTAATGTAAGCTTGCTGTACACCAAGTTTGATAACAATATCTCATTCCTATCTCTAGTTATTGTCCGGAAACCATTTTTCTATTTTTAGTAACGGGGACTTTGACCTTGACCCCAGGGGGTCCAAATGCAATACCAACCCAGGTCTTCATATAAGCTTTCTATACGCCAAGTTTGATAACAATATCTTATTTCTAACTCTAGTTATTGTCCGGAAACCAATTTTCTATTTTTAGTAACGGTGACCTTGACCCCAGGGGGTCCAAATGCAATACCAACCCAGGTCTTCATATAAGCTTGCTATACACCAAGTTTGATAACAATATCTCATTCCTAACTGTAGTTATTGTCCGGAAACCATTTTTCTATTTTTAGTAACGATGACCTTGACCTTGACCCCAGGGGATCCAAATGCAATACCAACCGGAGTTTTCACATAAGGTTGCTATATACCAAGTTTGATTACAATACCTCATTCCAAACTCTAGATATCGTCCGGAAACCATGATGTGGACCGACCGACGGACGGACGGACCGACCGACAAGCTGACTCCTATATACCCCCCTAAACTTCGTTTGTGGGGGTATAATAAGGATGCTGTTGTTTTCAGAAGTATAATATTTCAATATGAAAACAATGCCATTTATAACAACTGATTTTAGTTCTGGGACCAATTAATAGGAAGATCAATTTTCTTCGAATATTATATTGAAAAATGTATAAAGACAAGCAATTAGCATAGTATTGCAAGCAATCCATAAGTCCCCTACCGGTTAGAACCCCATCAACATTCTGAAGGGCCATTGGCCATTCACTAATGTTTCAATTTTTCTCTATTTTAAGTAAATTTGTTGGAAAAGTTCTTTAAAAGTGATCACTTGAAACAGTTTTTATGAACAGACAGACAGACAGACTGAAGGACACCCTAAAGTTAATATTTGAAACATCCCTGTTACCAAAATATTACATTTTTAAAAGCAAAATTCTTAAAGAGGAGATAACTCTTGAATTAAAGATGCAATTTCATAAAATTTTTCAGCTGTTTTTGACTTATCACAAATATTGTTATATTTGCCATGTTTTAAGCCTATTTGTTGCCAAGAAAACCAATATTTTTTCAAAATAGGAAGACAAGATAAGACATGCATAATCTCCAGACTGCCATCTACCCATATGTCAAGTTTCATAAAAATATTTCCAGTACATTTTGAGTTATCACTGGATTCAGTTTATGTGTAAAATTTGCCATATTTTCAGTCTATGTGTTGCCATAGCAACCAGAAGTTTCAACATAGGAAGAAAAGAAAAAAAACGTGCATAATCTCCAGACTGCCATCTACACATATTACAAGTTTCATAAAAATATTTCTATTACTTTTTGCGTTAACACTGGATCCAGTTTATGTGTAAAATTTACCATATTTTCAGTCTATTTGTTGCCATAGCAACCAGAATTTTCCACATAGGAAGAAAAGATAAGACATGCATGATCTCCAAACTGCAATCTACCCATATTTCAAGTTTCATAAAAATATTTCTAGTACTTTTTGCGTTATCACCGGATCCAGTTTATGTGTAAAATTTGCCATATTTTCAGCCTATTTGTTGCCATAGCAACCAGAATTTTCAACATAGGAAGAAAAG